TCCCTGGAAATTAAAGCCAGTCCAAAAGTGCAAGCTTTCATTGGTGAACAAGTATCGCTGAAATGCTCATTCAAATCCAGTTCTCCCATTACTGAGAGCCTGACGGTAGACTGGACGTACCGGCCCCTCACAGGTGGTCAGATGGAGACAGTAAGTGTAACACAAAGTCTTTCTAGTGTAGACTGTCCAGGCCTCTGTGCATGCTGAAAATACTTGCCTTGCTGTGCTGCTGCATCACTTTGGGGTTAGGGACTCCCATTGTCGCCTTCTTTCCCAGGTGAAATTGCTTTAGTGTTTGTTCTTTAGGAAAAAAAAATATTCTATGTAAGTGTATAATAGCATAACAGTGATAAAGCAGATGAACTTTGGGTTTTGACACAAGTGCACGTTGTGCGCTGTGGCTGCGTGTAGAGCACCTGTAAAGCATTTCATTGGGAGCTTTCTTGAAGGCAGCTGTGCCCTCGTAGTTCTGTTGTGCAGTCTACTGCTGATATATCTTGGAGTGGCAAGAACACTAGGAACTTGAACAGGGCTCCTGTATAAGAACTATTCTTTCTGACTTCTTAATGTGTATTCCTTTATGTTTACAATCCAAAAAGTAGTTTGTTTTCTTAGGTGAGTGTTTTATTTAGCACAATTCTTGTCTTTGCCTCCTTTTAGATTTTTCATTATAAGTCTCTTCCATACCCAGCTGCAGTGGGAAAGTTCAAAGACAGGATATCTTGGGTTGGAAATGTTGCCAAGGGCGATGCTTCCATTGCTCTCCAAAGCCCAGTGATGAGTGACAACGGGACGTTCATCTGCAGCGTGAAGAATCCTCCAGACGTGTACCATAACATTCCCAAGACAACGCTGATAGTCACGGAGAGGGGTAAGCCTCCATTTCAACAGCATGCCCTCATCTCTGTGATACAGCTGCATTGCAGCTTTGTCAGGATCTGGCAAGTCTGAGCATCACGTGTGAAATGGGTTCCCTGGAGTTCCACACTAGAATTCCAGCAAGAGTCACCTCGGCCCTTCTTTCTGAGCTACTACATTGAGAACTATTGAATTTACTGGAGGCAGGAAGGGACAGAGGAAGCTGTGGTGATAACTGAAAGAAAAAGTGGCCATTTGTTCAGGAGTTCCAGTCTCCACATCTTGCAGCAGTAGAACAAGTTCAATGTTTAGGAAATACTGGTCTAAAAATAACTGTCATATCACGAACACTGATTCTCAGTAATGTTTAATTTCCTCATTTGCCCTGCATGTGAGACCTGCCCCAAATCTGCACCTTAGACGTGCTGGTAGAACTCTGTCGTGACCTGCCTGCCTTTGTAGTTTTTTGCATATAAAGCACCCTGCTGTGTTGGATAGGAATCCTACAGATTCAGTGGCAAGCTGTTTCAAATCTGCCAGCTCTGTGCTTTATATGAAAAGGTGAGCAACCTGTGTCCTGGTTGAACATTTCTCACAGAGACTTAAGCCATATTTTACTCCAGCTGGGCTGTTTTCTGTCTTTCCTGCAGGCCTTTCCTTCCAGCTAACTTCAGCGACGCTGCTCTCCATTTTAGTATTTCTCCCCTCCATCACTGTGGTCGTTCTGCTGTTGGTAAGGATGGGAAGAAAATTTGGAGTGCTGAAGGAGAAAAAAAAATCTGGCTATAAGAAATCCTCCATTGAAGTGTCTGATGAGTAAGTTCTGGGTGCAACCTAAAGCCTGTATTTCTACTTTAACCTGTTAACACAGACCAAAGGACAGTTTCTCCGCTGCCCTTTGTTATATAGCGCTCAGTGTCTGCAGTTCAGTCACTGAAATCTACTTCTCCACGAGCATAATTTAGCCAGTGACCAGAAAGCTTTGGAAAATCCTCATGTTGGAGCACAAAGTGCTGTACATCCCCTTTTTCTGTCATTCGTGTCAGGCCATGGAACTGAAGCAGTTTAGGGTTAGACAGACTTTCGCTTCTGTAATTGGATTTATTTTAGCCTAAATCAGCAAGATATTTTGCTTATGTGTTGAGTTGTGGTATGAAGTATCTGTAACAACAAAGCAAACTGAATAATGCGAACTGGTTTCCCTGTGATGGCCTGAGCAGGGTTGCCAGGTACTAAATGAGCCTTGGAGACTGAATTCCCTTCTGAACTGGAGAGGATTCTGTTCTGGAAAGGTTCAGGAGTGAGAACTGGACCTGCTGGAACTGCACGTGTTTTTGCCATGAATTCTGTACCACAATTTGTTGCAGAATAGGTTTTTAGTACAATGTTCTGATCAGTGTTGTAAGATTTGCCAGCTGAACAGCAACTCTCATTGTATTCTTCATGGCACTTAAGTGAAATATCCGTTGTAAGATTTGCCAGCTGAACAGCAACTCTCGTATTCTTCATGGCACTTAAGTGAAATATCCATCTTCCAAATAAGGGCCTGACACTCTGTATTGTTTTTGGTCTGGCTGTGCTGAGTCAAAGACTTTTCATCACGTTGAAAAGCCTTCAGTTCAGTGTGGCAGAACTAGAATTCACAGTCTATAGGAGATACTAATACGTGTGTTGGGGAAAAGTCCAACCTAATCTTGTGCTTTTTCTGCAGGCCTGAACATACAGAGACAGGCAACTGCTTGGGGAAATGCAGAGACTGGTGTCTGAACTGCGTGGTAAGTGAAAGCTGGTGTTTTCATAAGTGGTTTTGTCAACTTTGGTGCTCAGAGGAGGTGGTAAGAGCAGCAGGTAGAGCTTGTCGTAACACCTCTGGATGTGAAACAAGTGTCTCAAATGGCTGGGCTTATGATCCTTGATGTTTTCCACATACAGGCTGTAAGGGGTGAGAACTGCTGTTCATAGTGCGTTACTGGTACAGGGAGTTGTCTTGAGATCCACCAAACTCATTTTTCATTTGTTGAAATCAAAGCTGACATTTTAAGATGAAAATTCAGAACTTTGAGTGCTAGCCACTGTGCTATGTAGTTTCTTTAAAGGCTCTGCAAAACCAGTTTGGTTTTTAGCAGTGCTATGGTGGGGAATGGAGGCAGTGATACCTCAAGTCAGTGTTTCTTGCAACAATGGTTGCGTGCAGCCTGGTCTCTTTTTTGGAGATCTTTCTACTTACGCTGTTTTCATCACAACAAAATCCTGCTCAACTCTTGTGGTTTGTTTGTTTCTGGCTTTTTGTTTGGTTTGTTTTGTGAAGTGGTGACTGTCTTCTAATTCTGCTTGTTCCCTTGCTACGCTGTCAGCAAGCTTCTGTTAATCAGATGCGTTACACTGGAACCACTGAATGGTTTTGCCACCTTCTGTACTTGTTTTGTAAGAAGTTCTGTGTGTTGGCATTAGCAGCCACAGCCGTAAGTGTAGCACATTCCAGAGTAAGCTTCCTAACGTGCCTAATTTGAGAGTGTGTTCATTTTTTCCTGATGTCCTACAGAGCAAGCTTACTTCAGACGCACCTTTACATCTCTTATACACAGCCAGGAAGTATGTTAAGGAGGATGTAAATATGTGTTGCTTGATTCATTATTCTAATGCCAGTGATTTAAAGTGTCCTAAATGAGTGAGCCTTCAGACAGGTGTGTGCTGGTGGTTTCTAGGCTTTGTTAGATACAGAAGGAAAAACAAGCAATTGTGCAAGTTGCATATGAAATATTTAAAATTCTACATGCAGGTACAATGCAGCAGCATCAGGAGAAGGAGTTTTGAGAGGTGCAGAATGCAGAAAATGCTTTATGCAAAAGCGAGAGTTGCCATGGGAGACAGAAAGGCTATTGCAAGTGAGATGCTGAGGAGCAGGGAGGCACCGTTGCTTCACTGCAGGTGGAGAGATTTGAAAGGGTGGGAGCCTAAATTCAGTGAGAAAAATGCTGCCAGACAGTTGGAGATTTTAAAAATTGAAAAATATCTTCTCATCCTTTGAGAGAAGGCAAATTTGAATGTTATAACCCTACTGCTTTTGTATTGACTATTTTGTAATCTGTTTGATACTTTGCTCTCTGATAGCAAAATATTTAGCTTACCAAGTCTCTGAACATCCCGACTCACTTACTGTAATGATTCATCATTTTTGAGGTTTCTGTAATGTACTTTTTAATGCTTAGTATGTTACCAAACAGTTAAAATTGCAAACCCAGTGACAATCTGTTTGGATTTAAAATGGCTGGGAAGTTATTGAGATTTCCCTTATAGAGCTGTTATGTTTGAGTTGCTTTCAAGCTGAGAGCTGCAGAGCTGGATTGTAGGGATGCCATCAAATGACTACTGTGGTTAAAACAACAGGCGATGGGGATCTGAAAGTATGTGGTTGGTCATAGCTGAGCAACACCACCCTGTGCTGCTCGGAACCTTCTCTGTAGGGACTGGTGCTGCTTCTTCATAAGATGGCTGTCTTTTGGTTCATCTTTTGCTTGAGGTTTAGCTGCTACTTCTCTTAAAACACATTTCACGTGGTAGTTGTACAGTAGCAATTTGTTTGTGTGTCTGTGAGAAGTCAAAGAGATTTAGCTGCAAGTGCTCACACAACTACAAGTCCTATGGCTTATTCAAGCACAGCAGGGTTTTGGAAAGCATCTAAGCTCTTGCAAGAAGCCTAGCAGACTCAAAATTTTGTTGAACACATAACTTGGTTCACGACTTCATACTTAGTCTCAATTTCTCTTTCCATACTCCCTGTTTAGGACACGGATGAGGAAGACCCATACTGATGAAAGATCAAAGCTATGGATAACGAACAAAATCACAGCACTGAAAATCATGGCTCGATAGGTACGAAGGCTGCTGGATGACCAGTGCAGATTGAAGGACCTGTTCTGATCTTGCTTGATTGGAAGAATAATGCTGATGGGATAATTCACTTTTATTTAAGCACAAAATAATAATTTTTTGAATCTTTCTAATTTATTGGGGGAGAAAAAAAAAAATCTCTTAACCTCACTTCTCCAGTGCCTGCAGAAACCTCAGTGCCTACAGCTGTGCAGCCTGTTTCCTACCAGCAGTCTGACAATTCACGTGTTTAGTTTACTTGCAAATTTGTTTCCTTTATTATTGGTGACACCCCTCCTTTCCTCTGCCCTTGAATTCAAACTGCATAAAGCACAGGCTACTCCAGAGTGATGTCAGCTCTCTAAGGTGATCGTCGCTGGGCACTGACAATGTTTTCTTCTCAATTTTTTTGGAATGTATTTTGCTAAGGACTTAAAACAGTTTGATTAAGTTGGTATATGGCATCTTTTGTCTTGGAGTGAAGAGAACCTACTGCTTTTTAACTCTTTCTTGGTTTAATCTGCCACTTAATTACAGGATCACCATTTTGTTCCTGCTGTTTTCTGATTCTATTTTTAAGTCACCAGCTGCACAGTAGTGTTAGCTTACATTGTTGAGTTTTACCTTTCCTTTTTTCTTTTATTATTTGTCCAACAGCTGCATTACTCAGTACATCCCCTTCTACTTGTAGAAGTGGAGTACGATTCATATAAAACTCATTTTTTAATATCAGAAATGCAAATGGGGACTCTGTATCTGGGGAAACATAACCCCATCTACCTCAACCATTGACTCAAGCAATGTCCAAATGAATGTTCCGTGTGCAGAACAACAGTCATGTTCCTCCTCTCTTCTTCTAGGTACCATTTTAGGGAAACAGCTAAGCATGCATCATTACTGCCTGGTAAGAAAGAGCACATTCTCTTTCACCAACCTTGTCCAGTAATGGATGGCAGAGAGCAGGGGAATTCGTGTCTCCTCAGTACCTAAAGAGCTGCTGTTTTGTGCTTCCTTTCTGTATGCGGCATTGGTCAAATAGTCTCCTTTTACGTGTGGGGTACAAGTTTACTGTTGACCTCGATGTGCCATTGCCAATAAATTGCTTTGTTTCATTCTGAGCTGTGGATTTCTTTATTTGGCTAAAGATGGGTGAACTCATAAAACTGCCATCCAGAGCTGTTGAGAAGTTGTCATATAATGATGGGTAAAGGTGTTTAGGGAACAGATACAACTCAAAAGGGAACATGTATGAGTGCCCCTTTAGCAGCCCTATGATGGCTGCCAACCCCAGGTATGTCAAAGTTCCTAACTGCAAAGCAGGTTAGCTGTAGATTTGTGTCTCCAGATAAAGAAATAACACTTTTCTCCTGTCTGCTATAAAGTAATATTTAAAAAAGCTTTTACTTCCTGATGACACAGTCTCCCAATCAAAGATGTTGATGGGATGTGCAGCCTAGAGGAAGTGGCTTTGTTGTTCCACTTTCAGCAATAATACATCACTCAGGTTCTTTGTGGAAATGAAAGATTCTCGTTTTCTGCAAAATGTTTGCCTTCAACTGTGACTCCTTTGCAAACAGCAGTCTAGATCCTGGGTAAATCTCTTCCTAGTGCAAAGCTAAATTGCCACCTTGAAGCTAATAGCATTCTGGATTGTGAATGGTGTCCAGCATGAGTAAGGCTTCACTTTCTCTTCCTTTGCTGGCTGTATGGAAGTTGCTCTGCGTACCATTAAAACCACTGATACTGGGCAGAGAACGGTGATTGCTGTGGTACTTCAGAGGAAGAGGAAGGCTGAAAATACGCTTTCAAAGTGACTGTGGGGGCTGTGCCAGCCGAAAGCAGGCCATGCTGTGTATCGTGTGTGTGTTTCAAAAGGGAGCAGCCGACTGGGCTGTGAAAAGCGTGTTGACAGTGTCCTTTTTGCCCATAAAATGCCTCCTAACCTGTGGCCTCTGGTAGCACCAGTAGTAATGCTCAGCAGAGTTACTCAGTGTTGCTTCCTGCCGATAGCTCATCAGGAGAAGATCCAGTCTGCAGCAGTGGTGGTTCTTTAACCAGCTCTGATTCCCAAAAACAAACTAGGAGGGAGCACAGGCTGCAAAGGGTTGCTTGCCAAGAAGCTCTCCATTCCTGACTTCTCACGTAATGACTGATCAGATCTGTCTGCCGTGATGGAAGGACTGAGACTGAGCCACATCTTGTACCTGTGAGGTGTCTTCTCCTTAGGTAGCTGCACACCCATCATCTGCTCTCAGGCATAGGCTTCTATAATTCTCATCTCTCTGTAACAGTCCCTTCAGCATTCTGATTTGTCAGTACCTCAGTCTAGCTCTTAACTTCCTCTTGCAAGTTGAAAGTGACCACCAAACTGAACCTGAAATAAGAGACCCGAAACTGGAGACTGGTAAGTCAAATAAATGTCTTGCACGTACAACCTCAAGACAATTTAGCAATTCCTTCAGACACTCCGAGTTAGTCACTGAAGAACCCCTCCTGCCAAAGACAAGTTGACTGCCCCAAGCCACACTAGGTGAGTATTTTTTGCTCAAATACTTACTTTTTTTGGTTTGTTTTCCCTGAAAAGAGAACTAGGGAAACATAGGAGTGCTGAGGATTCAGATAACATGGGCAAAAGTAGGAAAATGAGAAGGTAGTATGGTACCTATGTATTTTTTTTTCCCCAATCTGCTTAGTAAAGGCAATTATCCCGTGGAAGCAAGGATTTGGGTATGTCAGCACCATATTATGTGTCACAGCTTGGGTGAGTGGCTGCTGTCTTCACTGGTGCGTGCACAGCTGGTGCATGTGGCAGAGGGAGACTCTGCATAAATGTGTTCCCAACCAGGACCAGCATTTCTTCTGAGAAATAGGGTAATAAGTCCAGGAAGGATTTGATGGCAAATAAGGACCAGAGCCTCAGTAGCTCAGCTACAAAGAACTTTTGATGTTCTGAGTGCAGATATCCCAGTCCACAGGCTTCTGTGCACTGGGGACTTTTTTAAGCTGGCTCCTATTTTGGGCCCTTCATGGGGGTGGTCCTGGGAGGCTGTAGCTCTGCCCGAGTTCTATGTCTTTTGGCAGTATAGCTGGAAAGTAGGATGCTTTGGCCTGCTGTGCTGAGACCTGCTGCACCAGCTGAGAGCTTAGGAGCTGAGCATGAATTTTGCTGTGTTTGTAGGTCGTGCGTGCAGGTTGTACAGCAAACTGTGTCACAGCAGAGCTGCAAACATTGCAGTCAAACCACACAGCTCCCCCTTCCACCCCCAAAAAAAAACCAACCCCCAAACAGGTCATGTTTTTTGAAAGGCAGATTTGAGAGAATTCCAGAAGGCTTGCTGCCACTCTTTGGGATTTCGTTTGTGGAAAGGGGAGGGCGATGAAGGACAGAGGTGGTTTTGCATCATTGACTGCAGGCAAGAGCACCATGTACTGACTGGAAAACTGTAGTGGCTGTTTCTTAGCCTAGAACAGACCCATGGGTCCCCCAGCAGCTAATTCTGGACCTGTAATCCCTGTCTGGGACTGTCTCGGGGTGTTTCTGAGCTTCTTTTGCTGAGAAAAATGCATTCGGAAAGAAAAAGGAATTAGCAAATGTGTCTGGCCATGTGAAGAGATGGAAGCTTGCTTAGGGGATGAGCAGTGGCAGGGAGGAGGCCTTCCCCACTCCTGCTCACGCTCTGCGGAGCTGCAGTACCTGTTCCTGCTGCTTTACAGTGTGTGCACGGAGCTGGCATGTCCCCTGCCACCTCCCTGCCACCCACACCGCCCCTTGGCACCTGGCATTACTGTCACCATCGCTTCTGCATGGAGTGCCAAGGATGTAGGTGCTGCCCCAGGGAACCTGGTGTCCCAAGACCGTAGATCTGTCACTGGGGCTTTGAGCTCACTGAAGGGAGCAGCAGCTCTCCAAGAGTGGCAGCAATAGTGGCAGTATTTACTTGATGTTTTTCCTCTAATTCCTTTCATGGCTGTTTCTTGGGGAGAAATATCTGGGACCCTTCTGTCTTCCCAGCCTTACTGAAGCTGGTCTAGTGATCCTTGCACGACTGAGGAGAAACCAGAGTAGCTAGCAAGATTTCAGAGATGATTCATTCTCTTGTCTTTCTATTTTTGCAGCAAAAATGCATGTATGGGAAAACATGTGCTGGTAATAGCAGCCTCAAATTCAACTGCAGGGTGCAGGTTCTCCCAGCGGGAGGGCTTCTCTCAATAACTTTTTACCCTTAAATACGGTTATCACTTTTGAATGGGCATAGCTTTGAATCACGGAGCAGAGGCACAGCAAGCAGGGTGCTGGCTTTTGCCTTCCTGTGATCCACATGTGAACACTGGCTGGCATATTCCCGATGGTCACAGCCAGTCCTTCCTCGGGCTGCAGGGTATGCCCTCAATGTGCAGAAAGGAGACATGGGTTTTATTGTGAGAGATGTGCAGCAGGTCCAACTGAATCCAGTGACCAAATGTGGACTTTCAGAACAGACCCTGAAGGGTTCCAGCAGAAGTTTTCACCATGTCCAGCACCCCAGAGCAAGGTAGTTATTTCTAGAGGAAGGGTTCTGTGCTTTCAGGACCTGTATGTAAACTGAGTGTGTAGTAGAAAAAACATCCCATTTTTATCTGAGCGGAGTTAACATCTGAACATCACGGTTGAGCTGCTGGAGGCTCGACCCCCAAACCACCGGAAAGATCCATTACTTGAGGGGAAAATGCAAAGATGTCTCAGGCTGAGCCCTCCCCCGTCTCTCTCTCTCTTCCTTTCCAGGGCTCAGAGCAGCCTCAAACCAGAGACATATCTGACGTCGGGCTTCACTGAGTTTCAGGCTCCTGGCTGGGACAGTGGCTAACTTTAGAGGCAGAACACCCAGGCAGCAGAGGCAGCATCCCTCTCCAAAGAACTGCAGAAAGTCTTTTTCTGACCTTTGGGTTCAGTTCAATTACAAGT